AGCGCTTTTACACTACGTGCCACATTCACCCTTTCATCATATCAGTTGTTTTATTAGTGTCATAAAATTATCTAATTTGTAAGATTGTTTAGTTTATGTAGATGGTGGAGGAAGTAAGATGCTGATGGAGAAATCATTTCCAACATACTTATATATGACAGCAGAAAAGGACTCATTAAAAAATCTGACTTTAATATTGACAAATATAACCTAATTGTATCGACCATGATTTCATTTGATAAGTATAAGGTATTATGATACGGCATCTTAGTTAACAGTGATGTAGTGATGTAAATATAACGCCTGTGGTGTCCTCTCCTCCAGGAAGTATTTCGGGGAGAAGGTTGGACTGTATTTTGCCTGGTTAGGAGTCTACACACAGATGCTAATTCCTGCAGCCATCGTTGGAGTCATTGTATTCCTCTACGGCTGTGCCACTGTGGATGACAACATTCCAAGGTATACAGCAATATGAATATCCAATATATCCAAACAGAATATGCTGTTCACAGGAGCCTTATCAAATGTGGAATATTATATTCTGAATATAAGTGGAAAATATGTGTGCATGTAAACCTAGTCACTGATATGAAATCTTGAAAACTGCTGTGATGCAAAGTAAACTATTGCTGCCCAGCTAAACTAGCAGGGTTTTAAAAACAATTATGTAATGTCAAATGTTGTTTAAACCATACAAATCCTTGCCTAAATAAAATGCAGTATGAAATGTATATGCATGTAGAAATTATGACTGAAATCAGGAGCAGTCTTATCAAAGAGTCTTAAAAGACGAGGAGTCAGACATTTAATGGCAGCTATCAGATAGTTTCACTTTTAGTTTCTAGTAAAGTAGTAGATGTGTTTCCAAAATCATTTGCCTTCTCCATGACTGAGGTGAAGTTTTTATTTATTTGTAAGCTATCTAACTTTTATTCATTTATTTTGTGTTAGCTATCAAAATTACTAGTGTGAAATGGTTAAATACACACTAAACTGCAAATATTCACCATTTCACCTGCACAAGACATGTCTCAATAATTGCTGCTCCAGATCATAATTCCCTAAAATGTAATAAAAAGTTTCTAGTCCAAGTTAGGGTGTTACAAAAACAATCTCAAGTCTCAATTTTGTTCGAATGTAATATAGTTTAGTTTTCTGATTTTAAATTCATTTGTAATAAATATAATGAATTAATTATAACCCACTGGCAGTTGTCTTGGTTTAGGCAATCAAAAGCAGACCAAATGAATAATTATCAAGATAGATATCTCTTGTACTGTGGTATGAATGTTGATGGTAAACACCAGCTTAGACTACACCCTCAGAATGACTCCACCTAATCACATAAACACATGATAAAGCTAGGGGTTTATTGCCACACCAAGTCATTACAGACTTTACATGTACAGAGCATGTCAGTTTTTGTTTGGCAATATGGTGATACATCGTATTTCATAAGCCAATAGAAATGTTAACCATTAGAGATGTCGCCACTGTTTAAACTGAGGTAGCTGTCTGTAGGGGTATTGGGCCATAATGGGGACTGTTTATGTAAAAACTAGATTGGTACTTTATTTTACAGTCCATTAATTACCTGGTATTTACTAGAAAACTGCATGGTATCCAAATAAAATAATAATATAATAATAATAAAAAAAATAGTATAGCAAAGTACCAAAAGAACTGGCAACTAAGTACAGTTATTATTTAGTAAGTACATGGAAACCTATCAGGAAACTAGATGGTAATGAAATCAGCCGTTTCAGTTGCTCTACGATACACAGAAAGCAGACCGGCTATGTAAACAAACCAGAGAGGCTGCGATAGCAACACAGGCAGAGGGAGTGAGACACTATATATATATATGTATATATAGCCCTTAAGTACTGTACTGTCAGTAAGCTGAATCTAAACTCTTGTTCTGATCTGTTTGAACCATCATTTCCCCCCTTTTATATAATTCATCTATTCCATTTATCCCTGTTTTGTCAGTATGGAGATTTGTGATCCCAGGAACAACATTACCATGTGTCCGCTGTGCGACCGCGCCTGCAGCTACTGGAAGCTGGTGACAGCATGTGGTACAGCTCGAGCCAGCCACCTGTTCGACAACCCAGCCACCGTCTTCTTCTCCATCTTTATGGCCCTTTGGGGTAAGGACACATCCAATCATAACAACAGCAAACAATCCAATAAGGAACAGTAGATGAGTAGAATGTTACAAATACAGACTGTGCAGCTGAGCAATGCTTGATTTGTTCCAGTTAATATACAGTATAATTTAATCCATGCAGTACAGCTGTGGCAGAAACATGGCTAATTCACCTTACAATTGGAATCGTGAAGGTAGCCCCTGAGTAAACACAGAGTTGGTCCTCTTCTCATGTCCTGCCAAACCACGCTGCCATCTGTTAGTTGCAGCAGGGTTTCAGACTGGGGAAGTGTTATGTGTTTAGATGAAGCTAGTGTCTGACAGAGTCACAGTCTGACATTGGGATTCACATATGGCAGACCTGATGAAGGAGAATGCCAGGAAACTGTATGTACTTAGAAATCATTGCATTTGCAAAATAGCAACGTGTGTGCATTTATACAAATGGAAAGTACGTCATCCTGCTGAAATTTGTTGCCTTATTGTCAACAAATCACATGAACAGACCCAAACCAAGAGTGAACGTATCCAGTAAGTGCTGGGTGTGTATTAGAGCCTGATATATCATCTTCCTGTGCCATAGAGCTCCATTGTTGGCCAAAAATATGAATGAGTCACACTGTTGCACTCTGTGACATGTTCCTTTATTACCATGACCACACACAGCGTGTAGTTTATTTTTACTCAATCCCACATACACCGTACTGCTGCCCCAAATACTCACCAAATGTGGATTTACTCACTGCTGAAAATAGTCCCCAACAAATGTACTGTTTTCATCTTGTTTGAGTAAAGTTTGATAAAATCTACAGTGACCAGCTGTTTTACAAAATTACTGAGCCTTTTTTAAATGAAACAAATATATATGGTCAGTTTTTAAGGATTCACATCTTTAGGAACCAGTGGGCTTGGAGTCACACACAAGGTAGGGAAGTCAGAAAGTAGTGAGAGAAGGTATAATGCATTATTGGCATGGAATTTGTTGACAATAACAATAAATAAAATACTATTGCATATACTATTATAATACAATTGTACTTTCAATTTATTGTGCACTACAGTAATCTAGCTAGTCATAGAGGTTAGTAGGTGCAAGCAGATGATCTTAATCATATTTAAAGTCAACAAAATAACCCTTTATATTAGAGTCTAAAATAACTCTATCATGTAGAAACCCTAAATAGCTGACAAGAATACTGTCATTATAGTCACTTCTCAGCTGTTGATTCGATATGTACAGAATGTGCATCTCTGTACACTTCATGTTATGAATACTGCTACCATTTGTGCAGAAAGACTGACAATATGAAAGAGTGTGCGTTCACACTCACACAGTTTGCTGTGTGTGCTTGGTTACGTAGCGGTTCTCTTCATGGAACACTGGAAGAGACGGCAGATGCGGTTAAACTACGTCTGGGACCTGACAGGATTCGGAGAGGAGGAGGAGGTGAGATAATGCCACAAAGCACTTTTCTAAATCCTTGTTGAAAGATATCTGTCCACGAGTGTATGGTTGAAAACAAAAACAACAAACTAAAGCTTGTTAATTAAAGTCCAGGTTAAATGAAAAATGCCTTTTAACCCTTTAAGAACATCCAGTCACATTGTACCCCAATTTAAAAATGTATTCCAAAAATGTTATGTTAGCCCCATGGTGCCAGGAGCTAAACCCGGCAAAAAAACAAAAACTAAAAAACACAACAAATTATGTGTTCGGTCCTGGTCTGGCCATGCTGTTCACGGGGGGGGGGGGTAGAACTG